GGATAGGGACGTGGTGCGTCTTGGTTGTGGAATGCATTATCTGTGTCAGCACCATTATCAATCCATTGCGACTGCCGCCGTATGTGCGGAAGGGTGTCTAACATTTCCTCATTGTGCACATCCCTATCACCCAGATGTACGTTGTCCTTTCTGTTCCCATGGACGTTATCAGAACTGCATGATGCCGCACTGTGACGAGCGTCCTGCTGTCTTCTTGACATGTGGGCAGCATGTCCTCTGTCACGATTGTTTCGATGGGATGGTTCGTGCTAGCCGTCCGGCTGAATGCTGTGCTAGCGCAACCCTCCTTGGGCATCCCTGTGAACATCCCCGTCATCCTCACCGTAGTTGTCCCATCTGCCGAGGGGGTGACAGGTAAAGTTTAGAAGAAACAGATAAAAAAAGAAACCAAGTAAAAAGATAAATAAATAAATAAAAAACAAGGAAAAAGACAAAAAAAAACCCTGAGAAAAAAGAAAAATATGTTCTGTGGGAGGGTAATTGGATTATCTGTGGGATGTGTCACTTGCTTTGTCTGTTTAATAGGCTTTCTTCTTCTGTGAGGTTTGGTTTCCTCCACCTTTTCTTTACCTCTTTGCCTTTTGGCTGCGTGCAAGTGGGTCCTTGTGACACACGGGGATGGGGGCAGCCAGCGCTCAACCTGTCATCCACGTGGCTGGCCTTGTACGTAAGAGGTGATGAACAGGTCGGGCTTTCCTTCCTTCCTTCTTTTCCTTTCCTTGTTTTGCTTTTTTCCACCTTCACGCTCTGATTTACAGTGTGACAATAGAGCGCGAAGACGGAAAAAAGCAAAACAAGGAAAGGAAAAGAAGGAAGGAAAGCCCGACCTGTTCATCACCTCTTACGTACAAGGCCAGCCACGTGGATTACAGGTTGAGCGCTGGCTGCCCCCATCCCCGTGTGTCACAAGGACCAACTTGCACGCAGCCAAAAGGCAAAGAAAGAGGTAAAGAAAAGGAGGAGGAAACCAAACCTGACAGGGAAAGAAAGATAATCCAATTGTCACAAAGCAAATAACACATCCCACAGATCAACATATCTTTTCTTTTTTCGTTTTTTCTTATTCTCTTTTTTTTCTCTTTTTCTTTTCTTCTTTTTTCCTTTACCTCAAATTACCTGTCCCCACCTCGGCAGATAGGACAGCTACGGTGAGGATGATGTGGATGTTCACAAGGATGCCCAAGGAGAGCTGCGGCAGCATTCAGCAGGACGGCTAGCACGAACCATCCCATCAAAACAGTCCTGATAGAGGACATGTTGTCCACATGTCAAAAAACAGCAGGACGTTCATCACAGTGCGGCATCATACAGTTCTGATAGCGTCCTTGGGCACAAAAGGAACAACGTATATCTGGGTGATAGGGATGTGTACAATGAGGAAATGTTGGACACCCTTCAGAACAGACGGCGGCAGTCGCAATAGATTGATAATGGCTATGGCATAGATGATGCATTCCACAGCCAAGGCGCACC